TCACCAAGCACACCTTGCCATGAGAAGTGTTAGTATGAAACAAGTTCTTTCTCACCCAACTTTCATCCTCAGCCACATAGGACACTTTTAAGTTACGTTGTAACACAATAGACAAAACATGATAAACATAAGTAATCTTTTCCTTATTATCATCATATTTTAGTTTATCGTTTGCTTCATCTCCTTCTCCATCAGTATGATCTTTAACCAAAGTAACAATCCTTCTATTTGGACAATCTGAAGTAATATGCCTAAATTCATGACATTTGAAATATTTTCGACCACTTGGTGTAGAAGAATTAGGTGTTTGTTTGCTGCTAGCAGATCCTTCACTCTTTGTCTTACACCTTTGACACCTTCTTGCTTTGGAGAGTAGGCTTGGAATTTCCTTCTCTCGTATAACCTTCTTTTGACTCGTACCGAGAACCCTTTTGAAAATTATATTGCTTCTCAATTTTTAAAGTCAACTTGCTCACATCATTAAAAAACCAATAGGGCTAGAGTTGAACCACTTTAGCAATCTCATATTTCCTCCTAAGTATCTTGCAATGGTTTGCTCCTCTGGTTCTACAAGCTCTTCTTTTAACATGATATTATTGAACTCTGCTGTGTATTCCTCTACACTAAGATCTTTTTGCTTGAAATCATGGATTTTGAGAAATATCTCTTGTCTATAGATGTCAGGCAAGTATTTCCTCTTCAACTTTTTTTTTATTTTCTCCCATGATACGATCTTACTCTTCCCCCCACGTTCCCTTTGCTTCTTCAAGTTTTCCCACCAAAAAGATGCATTCCTTCTGAGTTTGAGTGTCACAAGCTTTACCATTTTTTGTTTTGGTGGTTCATGAAACTCGAATATTCTTTCCACCGTATTAAGCCAATCAATAAAGTCATCAACATTTATTTTACCTTCAAACTCCGGAATATCCAACTTTGAGTTGTACTTGTTCTGTCACTCGTCTTGGTCTCTATACCTTGCTCGATATCTTCCCAACTCCCTTGGGTGAGGAGGTGTATCATCATCAGAACCAAACTCTTGGGCATCATTTTCATGCTGGTTGTTTCTTCTCCGAAGTTCTTCAATGATTTCATTCTTTTCTTGTAGACTACGTAGCAATCTTTGCAGCTGCAACCTCAAGGACTAAACATCATCTTCATGGCCACTACCTTCACTAACTACATCTTTTCTATTCCGCCTTTCTATAATCTCTAGCCTTTAGCTCTGATATTAGACTTATACCGAGATAATGAGGAATAAAATTTGAAAGGCTGATAGTTGTATTTGCTAGGAACACTTTTGGAATGAAGATAAATGGATTCACTAAGTTTAAAATCACAAATGGATACAGAAATTCACCACCCTAAGGATAATTAAACAAGGATACAAAACTTTAAAAAAAGACTCACTACTCAAGGAAATATCCAAGAGATACAAAGACTAAACCCATCATTCTTTGGAAAACCAAAGAGATATAAAGTTAAAAGAGAGAACTCAAAGAGTTTATGTAAATATAATCAGATTCTGAACTCCTTTCTAACTCTAAAATACCAAAATAAATACTAGTGCATGAAACAACCCTCCATGCATAGGGAACC